TCCCCAAGAGCCCAGGCCCTGATCCACCTTCCTTGGCCGTGCCTTCTCATCTCTGCAGTCTATATCAACTTGTTTCTCTCGGCTACAAACCCTTGCTTTAGGGATAGCCTTTGACCTTCCGTCTGGTCTTTAGGCTTGAGGTGATCTTTTTGTTCTGGCATCTTTGCCAAAGCTCATGTTTGGATCCCTTTTGTTCCAGCTAGTGCCTGGCTGCCTGCCTGATCCCATCCATTCCACAGACTGTGTGAATCCCCTGGTTATCTCTATACTTCTTTCCCGCCATCCCTGTGTTGTGTCTCTGTTTCCCGCTCTGATTATCACAAGCATTTCTCAGCCAGTCTCTGCTACTTCCAATCTGCCCAGCTCTGATCTATGCTTCCCGTAGATGCTAGATTTATAGGTTTAAAAACGTATGTCTAATCAGACTTTCCTATGTAAAATTCTGGCATTGCTTCTGTGTCCTCAGCGGAATAGTGCCAGAGTTCTTAGCATATGACTTGACATCTGTCAGCTTCCCCAAACCCACTGCTCCTCGGCAACCTCCTGCTCTGTGTCATTGTCCTTGAACCACACAAACACACTCAGCTTTCTAGTACACCTTGCTCACTCTGTGTTTCCACGCAGATGAGTCCCTTTGCCTAGAATATTCTTCTCCCTCTTTCGGACAAACTTTGGTTTCGCTTTTGTAACCAACTTAATGGCGGAGCTCTTTCAACGAGTCTCTTGGGGTCTTCAAGAGGGTTCGTTGCCCTCTTCTCTGTCCTATCTTCCTCTCTGCTCTGATAGACACCCTCCCACAGTAAGTGATCCTGGGCTTGGAGACCGAACTCTTGGACAGATCGATCTCATTTATCTCTCTTTTATGTGTCTTGAGTTTGGGGGAAAGCAAGGCAGTCAGTAGATGCTATTGAAGAAACAGTCACAGTCATTCCAAGCCCTTTGACCCCATTTCTCCTTCCTGGGAATCGTGTCTGTGTCCAGACCCCAGCACAGCTCTGATTTCTGAATGTCAGTGATCACTTTCCTCTCTGAGATGTGAGATCCTCCAGAATGGGAGCCTCTTGTGTCTTAATGTGTCTATGCAATGTTCTCTCTCTCTCTCTCTCTCTCTCTCTCTCTCTCTCTCTCTCTCTCCTCAATAATGTTTGTGTATAATAAATAGATTTCCCGTGTCTGTGTTAACAGCTAGAATTAGATTTACCTAACCTAAAATACCCCTCTCCAGAGAGCATCACAGGCAGGTAGGCTGTCCAAATATCATCCTAATTTCTAAAGTTCCTTTCTCCATTGACATTAAAACAGCACCGACTTTTAAAAAGGTATAATGATGACCGACCACCTGAATCCCAAACAAAAGACTGGAGCAGATGTGGCCCAGTGAGCACCTGGTTGTTGTGATGGTTGTGGCTGGGTTAATTTCTGCCTCCCTTGAAGTCCACCATGTTACAATATTGAGAGGTTAGGGGTCATCCCTAACTGGTTAAGTATAATTTCATATAGAGCAACCAGAGGGGCTGGAAAGACGGCTCACTACTTAAGAGCACTCTCTGCTCTTCCAAAGGCCCTGAGTTCAATTCTCAGCACCCACACAGTAGCTCACAACTGCCTGATGCTGTCTTCTGATGTGTAGATGTACATACAGGCAAAGGATTCATATACAAAAAAATACACAAATAAATAAATGTTTAGAAAAAAGTAGGCCATGGAAAGTGCCCTGGAATTAGAGTCAGAGGTTTGTGGCTCCATCCTCAACCCCACTGTTACCTAGAGCACAGCTAAGCCTGGGTTAGCACAGCACGGGTTAGTGAAGCCGCAGAGCCAAAATATGCATCACAGTGCTCAGCCCTTGGATCCTCGAAGAGCTGTTGCACCCTCATCACTTCTTTCAGGGGGCTTGGTGGTTTGCTGTGCTCTCGTTAACTTGCATTTGATGTTCATGGTAGTTAGTATGCATTGCCCTAGGGCAGGAGTTCTCAACCTCCCAAACGCTGCGACCCTTTAATACAGTTCCTCATGTTGTGGTGACCCCCAACCATAAAAATATTCTCATTGCTACTTCACAACTGTGATTTTGCCACTGTTACGAATTGTAATGTACCTATTTTTTGGTAATAGAGGCTTGCCAAGGGGATCGCGATCTGCATGTTGAGAACTACTGGGCTAGGCGCTTAAGGCTCTAAACCAAGAGGTGCCTGGTCTTTGGGGATGGTTTGAATCATGAAATGCATCACCTACTGGAAATGCTCACATTCAATGTCATTGACCTCAGCTCTGGAGATATGCTGTACGCAGTGGGGACATTGGAGACTCTGGCAGCCAGTTCAGGCAAACTCCTTTGATGAGCTAAAGACCATTCTTGTACAGAATCATTACTCTAGGTTTTCTCGGTGATTACCAAAAGTCAGCTGGGTGGATACAGCTACGAATGAGACAGACTTGGTTTCACAAGCAGTAAGCAGGCAGAGTTTGCTCTTGGCTTCGTGGGATCTTGTCACAGAGTCCCCCCTCCACCCTGAACTGTCAACACCCTCTTCATGCTCTTCCAATAGAGAATGAAGTATATTTTTAAAAGATCCGAACACAAAGAGCCACCCATTGAGTGCTCACACACATCTTCACCATCCATGGTTATTTAGCAGTGTTAGGGAACACATTGTTGCTGGTGTCTGAAAAACGGAGAAAATCCAGAAGCTTGCAGCAGCAGATGGGTTGACTCTTCCCTTAGCCCCTTAGAGCCAACCCTGTCCTGGACTTATTTTCTTTTCTCCTGGCCATATATATATTTTTAAATCCAGGTTCTGCATTGCTTAATACAGTTGCTTGGACCTGTTGGATATGGATTCTTTTACTGAACATTTCTTTCCCAACCAATATTGCCAGTGCGTCTGAAAACTACGCTCGGGTTGACCCTGCAATGGCATTGTGGATCTCATTTTGCTTTCGAGCCAAGGAATGAGCCTGGACTCAGAGGCATGTGGAAGTGGGCTGTGCCAGCAGAAGTGAGCCCGAGCTGCCGTCTTGCACTCCGTAGACAGATGCCAAGTTTGCTTTCTAGTGAAGCTGAGCGACTAGCTGAGACCCAAACTAAAACCGTCTCTGCTGAATATTGCAGCTTCCATTTGATCCTCCGTTCAGAAAGCCTCTATGTTTTTACACCCATCCGGTGTTAGCTGTATTACTGGGGACAGACTGTGGAAGAAGGGCCACTAATACCGAATGTCACCTTCACAACCACCAGCATCACCACTGGTCATCATCACAGCCACCACATCACAAGCACCACAGGAATCTGCTTACAGCCTCCCACTCTTGTCCACCAGCCCCTGCTCCCTTGTCTCGGTCACACGGCACTCTCCGTTTTATCTCACTTCCCAGCATCCTCTCTGGTCAGCCAACCTGTCCTGGGAAAGGATTGAAACGTAAGTCCTTCTTTCCTGCTGAGTTAGCCTACGATGTACCTTTCAAGATTTCACAATCTGGAAAATAAAAAAAATAATCTTTGTCCCCAGGATTGAGATACTGAATTAGTTAGCCAGAGAGACAATACACTGGCTTAGATTAACACACGAGGTCTGGCATCACTGTGATCAGCCGTGGCGTCTGTGATCAGTAGGATAGTCTCCAGGTCTTTTCAGTTTCTAATATTAAAAGATCCCAAAGAAATTCACATCACCATCATCTCAGCCCAGTTAATATGAGGAGATGTTATCCTGTCCAACAGAGCCGTGTAGCGTATTGAATGTAACACCACTGATGGAGAAGAACATTGCACTATGTTCACGGTGCTGTGACCTGGGATACAATGAGAGTTCCAGATGAGGATATATAATCACTTCACTCAGAACAACCAGAGCCATTTCCACCTCCCTGTTTGCATGGAACAAACCTTTGCAGTCAATAATCACTATCCCCCATTGAAACAAAAAGAACCTAACCCTCCACCAGCTAAGGTGGAAAAGAGAAGAAAAGTTGACTTCAGGATTGAGAAGAAGCAGGAACTAAAGAAGTGGGTCCTAACTTCTTTGTCCTAACACTCTGATGCTTTTTAAACCTTATCTTACCGGGAATGAATCCAAATGCTGTTCTGAGGCCTCATTCCTGCCTCACCATGAAGAACTCACTGTGAAGCAGAGGTGAGACTTCAGAACAGCATTCTCTTCCCTACTCCCATACGGGGCTCCTGGAGTTGTGTGGAACCCCAGTCCGACACATACAGCACACACCACCAGATTAGAGAGAGCTGGGGTATAGAACTGGCTTATAGAAGAAGAGAAGGGCCGGAGGCGAGGAGGTGACTTTGTAGGAAGGCTTGCTTTACAGGTGTGGGGACCTAGTTCTGATCCCGAGCCCGTGTGAAAAGCCAGGTGTGGTAGACATAGGGAGATCCCTGGAGCCTACTGGCCCCTTCAGCTGGCCTCCAAGGCCAATGAGAGACCCTGTCTCAAACTAAAGGTGGGAAGTGCCCGAGGACAACATCCAAAGTTGTCTTCTGACCCCCTTCCCACAAACATATGTCCTGTGCACATGTATACTTACATGTGTATGTATGTATGTATAAACCCTTGTTCACACATTCACATGTGATCCACCCACATGTCCGTACATACATAAAATAAAAATTGAAAGACAGTTCCCATCACGGCTGCTTCTGGACTTCTTGCTGTATAGATAATGCCAAGGCATGGCTTGTCGGGTGTGCAATGAGAAGCCTTCCACACCCCTGCAGATGAATTCACCCAATGACCCTCTTTACCTCCGAGGCAAGCTTCATCCTTGTCTAACTGGGCAAGATAGCTTTGTTTGGAAATGATTTCAATTTATCATCTTTGTCCTGCCCCCCTCCTTTCCCACCCACCTCTTATAGCTAAGCTATAGTCTCACCCGAGATCACGGGTCTCAACCCCAGTTCTACCTCCAAGTAGAAGGGGATGCTGAGGGATCTTTCTGTTTCCTTACCATGCGGCTCATTACTTCTCATGGAGACAATACCCCAGACCCACCTATGCACACCACATCCATGAAGCCGTACATCCCGTAGCAAATCTGGAAGAGGAGGTCTTGGCGTTGCCATTTTGCTGAGGGACTGAAGGTTGACCAGATGAGCCAAGAGATACTGGCGATGAGGAAGAGAGAACCCAAGATGGCGGCTGCAATCTGAACCTTCTCGATGACTGTCAGGGATATGGCCTGCCACTGGGGAGGAGAGAGTGAAAGATTAGTTGCTTGAGCGCCTGGATCCCATTCCCACATTGTTCCTTCTGATCCAGCAGATCGCTGGTACAGAGCTTAAACCAGGGCTTCTCCACCTGTAGTACAATGGACAGCTTTGCGGTTTCATATTATATATTTTTGATGCAGAGGGAACCCATGTCATATAAAACGATTAGACATCATTGGGCAGGCATGGCTGTGGAGGAGACCCTTCTACTTGACTCTCATAGACATAGAAGTTCGAAGGTGAGAAGGAAAACAAAGAACTGGTGTAGGTGTTGTTTCAGGGCACGAGAATATTCCTTTCAGAGCAACACAGTTGATTTTCTCACTAATAGGTGCCAAGAGGGCACAGGTCTTCCTTTGACTGTTTTATTTGGTTCTACACCACCACCCTGCCTGCCACTTAATAGGCACGTTAGAGATCAATAATTGGACAGAGAAGGAGAGGACATGGGGTGTGGGCGTAAGAAAACCAGCTCACAATAGACTAACTGTATTTTAACTTCTTTGTCAAAGAAAAAACAGTGTACTTATAGCAGTATTGAGTTGGAGGCTGGAGTGTGGGTGAGTTTTGGCTATGGAATTTTCTGATTATAAGCTTCGTCTATGGAGCAATGTCCTAAATTAGCCTTGAGCAGGGTTTCAGTTTAGGCTTATTTCACTTAACAAGCAAGTATTGACTATTTCTATGTGACTGGCCACCGCACTAGGTCCTGGAGCTAAAGCACTAGACAACACTGGACATGACCCTTGCCCTATGGTACCCACAGCCTTGGGACACACAACTCTAAGAATTTCTAAATGTGGTCCACCATGGATCGGCATAATGCCCTCCAGGGAACGTTCTCAGAACCTTTGTGACCTAAAGACAAATGAGAAGCACATGGCCTTCCAGCTACCACCAGGGGCTCCTCCTTCTATCATTAGCTCAGACAGGGTAGGCCAGTGGCCTCCTGAAGGAGACCCCTGAACAGTGGGTCTTCCTCCTGAACCCCAGATCAGGCATAAACCACACCCAAACACCTGTTTTCGTAGAGAGATCCTTTATTAAGTGGGAAAGACGTTAAAGTGGCTGCTTTCGGACTAAGGCAGAGAACGGCAGCAAATGACCTTGCAAGTGTAATTTTTAAAAGAAGAAGGGGAGATCTGTGTTAGAATGGGCTGGGATGTCGTGGTAAAGAGGTAGGGGATGAGGGAGAGAGGGGACAAGGGAGAGAGAGCAGGGCCCTTTGTCCCTCTGGATAGAGAGGAGACAGATATGGCACATGAGCAAAGGGTGGTTTAAAAAGGTACAAGAGGGAAATTTGGTGTTAGGGTGAGGTGTTTAATTTTAATTGGGCATATTAATTAAGTGAAGCAAAGGGGGAATTTTGATTGCTGAACCTTGGTAGTCAGGAGGAAGAAGGGGCCAAATAAGGGAATGGATCTTAGTGGCTGGCTTTAGGAATGCAATCTTTTTGTTTTTTAGCAAGGCAGAGGGAGTGGGGAGAAGGGCAAGGCCTGCCAGAGCCACAGGTTCAAGTGGGCTCGTGTGCCTTCACCTCCAAGGAACAAATAGTAAGTATTGGAAACCATTTCCCTTTTAGTCTAGATGTAGGACACAGGCCTTAACATTTAATTACACAGATAACATCCCATTACAGAGAATTAGCCCTTTAATTTTCCAGCATTTCCCCAGCCTAGGGTTACACATAACAAAGGCATTTTCCAGAAGATGGTTCTATCACATAGACTTCCCTCATGTACAATACATGCTTTTTCCAGGGCCAACACCACACTGTCTAGAAGAGAGTTTCTAATGATTTTGTTCGTTTGTTTCTACCATTCAGACATCAATAGCTCCACCTTCTAGAGGCATAGAAATGTCCTCTTTATCTCCATAATCTCCCTTCCTACCCCAAGCCCCCTAGTGGGGCCCCCTGACCAAAGAGAGTATGACGAAGAAGGGTGGGTATGAGATGCTGTATACCAGAATTTCTTCTTGTCCTGTGCGAGGTCCCATGGAACTGTAACAGGAGGTACCTCAAGGAGAGCGCTGAGGAGCAGAGAGCTTTGAGCCCTGACAGGAGGGCTCAGAGCGGAGAAGAACATCAGTGGTACCAAGTCCTGCTGCTGACAAACACCTGGATCACAAGAATCTCAGTCTCAGGGAGGCGCTAATCTCCACATCCTAAGACCTTCCCGCTGTGGACTCTGGTTCTGCTGCGGGAGTGAAGAGACAAGGATGGAGGGCAAAGAGGAATCTTCTTCCTTAAACTGGCAAGGAACAGCAAGTAAGGGGCCAGAGAGCCCAATTCTGGTTGAGCTGTGCCCCCAAATTTGTTGGGTGTGAATAAGAAGTTAATAAATTACAATGACTGTCAATTCTCCCTTCTTTGAAGATGGAAGTGATTGCTCTGTCCCTATGTCCTCGAGCATTGTGAGTGTTGATAGCGAAGCCAGGGCACGAAGGGCATTCTTTACTGTTTCAGTAGAGACACAGATAAACTTGTCTAGGCAGGGGTAAACAGACGTGTGCACATGTGCCCGGACTCAGGAATTCTTGTTGCAGAAAGCAACCTGCTCCTTTGCTTCATAGCTGCACAGCCTCTAGAAAGTTCCTAAATCCCTCTGTGCTCCCATTGTCTAAACCCGTGCATCGAGTAATAATGGTACTCACTCCACTGAGTTGTCTGAACGGATACTGAACAAAAAGTCATTAAGTGTTTGTTAATATATCATAGTCTTCCATCATTTAAGGGGAATGTATTCCGAGGCCCCGGTAGAAGCCTCAGATAGTAGCGGACCCTATATTAAAGTATTGTGTTGGCTCATGCCAGTTGATCTAATAGCCCAGATGGCTCCTAAGTAACCAATTGGTAAACAGCTTATACAGCCTGAATGGATGAACAAAGGGATGACCTGGATAGGATGGAGCAGGAAGCCATGACATGTTCCACTCAGAACAACACGCAATTAAAAGTTACTCTTTCTAGAGTTTTCCTTTTAATATTTCTTGGTGCCAATTGGCCATGGTTAACGAAAACCACAGGGAAATAGAACTAATGAATTGCCATTCAACAGTGGGATGCAGTCAACGGGACCTCGAGACCCACTAGGCTGTGCCTCCTTTCTAAATAGATATTCTAGATACAAACCTTTCTTTGAGAATGTCACTAACATAATGCCCTCTATTAAAGACTTGAGCCATTTCTTACATCTTTGCCTGGGACACAAACCAGGAGGCGAGAGAGCCAAGCTGTCTTCCATATGATGGCAGGACCCTATCCATTGCTTTGTTGCCAGCTAGTCAGGTCTGCCAGTTCCGACTTCTACTGCAGACAGGCCAGCTGGGCTTTTTACACAGAGGGTGACCACTGTGGCCGATCAGGCAATTGTCCCACACTTAGCTAGATCAGAGGAGCCCAGGATACAATACTCAGAACAATGGAGGATACAACCATACAGTGCAGCTTCAAGTCCAAACAGTTTCTAGACAGAAAAATGAACTGGCATTAACTGCACACACACCACTGCATTTCCAGGATCAACAGAACCAGAGGGGTCCCCAGTGCCCAGAAGCTAATAACTGAAGTCAGCGTAGTAACTTAGAAACAGATTAACACACCAATATTGCCAGGGCTGCCATTTGCTTACCTGAAGCAGACTTAAAATAACCTTTTCTTTACGCCAAGTAAAAAGCTATACCTGAATGATTTTTTCATTATATGAGTCAAAGGTGGAACCAAGATGGGGGTGTTTTTGGGGTGAGTTCATAGATTTTAGATATGACCTTTCCTGAGGCCTGAGTCAGCTGTAAAAAAAGGGGCGGGTTAATGCGCTCAGGCCTCCACTGCCCCCTGAGGACCTGGGATCAGCTGTTGCTTGGCGCTGCTATTTTAAGACACCTCAGGATCTGAGAGGAGCGGTTGAAGATGGAACCAGCAGTTGGGAGGGGCTCCCCATCAAGAGGCTGAGGTGCCTGGAAATCTGATGCTTTCATCCTCCATGGAGAACGCCACAGGGTACCTCCACAAGTTTTGAGATGCTCACCCTACTACAGTCACCCCCTCCCAGCTCTCCCCGATTTGCAAGGTTGACGCTCTGCCCCACCCACAGAGCAGGGGAAACGTCAGGCATCTGTGGTCTCCATCCTCACCGTCTTGCTGGCTAATTGATTACACGGCCACTTGACTGATGACGTATATGTGGAGGTATTTTCAGGAGCAGAACAGTGTGTGGGTGTGCGGGCACGCGCGTGTGCACTATCTTCACTGGTAAACTGCCTGATATGACTGATTGGCACAGGACTTAGCAGCAATCGGGGTGAAGATGGCTATGCCAGCAGGGGAGGAGAGGAGAGAGTGGGCAGAGGGAGCCCTGAGTTCTGCCAATCTGACTGACAGGTCTCTACTCTAGCTCTGGGCCTGCTTTCCCTTAGCTCTCATGGTGCCCCCCCCTTTTTTTACTCTGTCGTCATGGTTTCTTTTTCCTTATTTTCTTTGCCACTCTTAGCTGTTTCTTCTCCATTCAATCCCCCTCTGTCCCTTGTCATAGAAAGTGTGGCCTGTGGGCCAGCAGGAGTATTCCCCATAGCTTGCTAGCAATGCAGGTTCTCAGACCCTGCTCTAAACCATGAATTGAAATCCACTTTTTAAGACTCCAGGTAAATCAAAAGCACATTAAAGTCTGAAAAATGCCACTGAGCCATCTCTTCTACACAACTTCCATGAAGCTCTTGGCTTTGACCCGAGCCTCTCCTTTCCCGCCATGTATCCCCGATCACCTGTTCTCTTTGTCTTCGCTTTTCTTCCCTTCTTCCCTCTCTTCCTTCTTGTCTCTTTGTCCCTCCCGTTCACCTCCCCCATTCCTTTTTTCTTCCTTTCCTCTTCTCATTAACCTGTTATCTTATTCTGTCTCTTCCACTGATCCCCCTTGACTCCTTTCCTCGTACATTTCTCTCTTTGCTCAACCCTTAAAGGAAACGAACCTCTTTCGTGCTCTCAGGACTGTGTGGCTCCTAGTCACCAAGCTGCCCTGAATCTGAGGTTCAGCAATCCCCCCCTCCATAGAGCAGGTAATGAGGGCACCCCAGACTGGGGAGCCCCGGGTTTACCTGCAGAGGATTCTTTGTGCTTATGGCGATGACGTGGTATTTGTAGTAACACAGCTCACAGCTCCAGCAGCCCCTTTCGCTGATCCACTTGATGAGACACGGCTGGTGAGTACATTTAACAGACCCGTCACAGCGGCAAGGGCTCAGCAGCTCTCCCTGTGGGAGAAAAAGAGGGGTACGGTGAGCCTGGGTGTAACATGAGCCGCCGGCTTGTTGGGGTTTCTGTCCCTCTCGGTACCCCGCAACCGGCATATCCCAAAGAAAATCAATCACACAGAGATCTCTATAAGTTATAAAACTGATTGGCCCATTAGGTCAGGCTACTTATTAGTTCTTATGACTTATCTTAACCCATTATTCTGATCTATGTTAGCCATATGGCTTGGTACCTTTTTCAGCTGGGCAGGTTACATGTTGCTTCTCTGGTGGTCTGCGCAGGAGTGGCAGAGGGAGTTTCCTGTTTTTCCAGAATACTCCCAGTCTCTTTGCTCCACCACTACTTCCTGTCTGGCTTTCCCGCCTATACTGCCTGCCTGGCCAATCAGCGTTTTATTAAAATATGATTGACAGAATACAGACAATTTTCCCATACCCCCTGGGCCTCAGTCCAGTGGGTGATAGAGAGGTGGATGGACACTGAAACCCTGACCTGAGCCACCCCCTCCAAGTCACAAGCCTTGCCTGGAGGCACCACGGGCTACTGCAGAGGCCTGGGCTCCACTGTGCCTACCACAGAAACCAGGCTGCTTTACTCAGCTAAATGACCGGTTCTGAGACTGACAAGACGCAAAACAATGCTTCTTGAGCTGCCTAATACCTAGGACGTCCGTGGAAGCCTCCTGCACTCCAGCGGTGGGTGTAGGCTCCCCAAGTTTCTCTTTTGAAACTCAACCAACCTCAGATGCCCATAGCGCTAGAGAGGTGACACAAATGACAGGAATCTGCTGGTGGAGGCAGGAGAGATCTGGAGGACACAGATTGAAACCAGGACAGCCGCCACCATCTCCAGTTCGCTACAGATGAGGGAACATGATAGAATTTGTATTTTCGGTAGTGCTGGTGATTGAACCCAGGACCCCATACAGACTACCCTCAGTCCTACAGGGGATCTTTCCCTGAAACTTCTCGGTAGCCTGATCGTAACAGTTTAAAAATATGTCACACAGGTCACCTTGACCAAGTATAGAGAAATGCCTGTAGGCCATAGAACTCTGAACTTGAGCCTTTGCCTTCTCCTGCAAAGACACTGGTCCCCTCAGAGACCAGCCTGGTCTCCAGGCTGGGTCCCGAGAGAAAGAGAAATGTCGGTCAGGCCTGAATCCTGGGGATCTTGGAGGTTGGCCAGTGTCCTTGCTGAAGGCCTGGGTTGCTCCAGCCAACTCTGGGGCAAAGTGCAAAAGACCAGCTTAGAAGCATGGGGAGGTGGGAAAGAAATCTGGCCAAGCTGGGTGGTGTCAGGATGAGAAGCCCCTGGTAACTGAACTGCAGAGTGGAACCCATGCTCCAGAGCTCCCTGTGACACATCAGATAGCCAGGATTGACACCTGTGTCTCTTGACACCCGATATGGTGGCCCCAAAGTGCCTCCGTGAACCTCACCAACTATTCTCCTTCCCTCTCCCTTTCTTTCTTTCTTCCTTCCTTCCTTCCTTCCTTTCTTTCTTTCTTTCTTTCTTTCTTTCTTTCTTTCTTTCTTTCTGTAAAGGAAAAAATATATATATATATATACCACTCTTGATGCTGGAATGCAGGGCCTTAGAAATAAACAATTCAGGCCCCTTGCTGTAAGGGAGGGGAAGGGGGCCTTTTGTCCTGTGACAGGATGTGAGTCAGGATATTTACAGCCGGCCATTGGCTGGTCTCCAGCTAGGAAGGCAGGAAGAGATAAGGAAAGTAGGAAGCTCCTGGACAACCCCCTCCTTGGTATTTAGGTAAAAGGTCAAGAATGTGCCACTCAGCTTAGCCTTATTTGAACTGACCAATGAAATGAATCCCCGTAACCACGCTTTTTTTTGCTTCTGTACCCGCGCTTTTGCTCTCCTATAAGAACCCCTCACCCCCAACCTGGGGGCGCGCAAGTCCTCCGGGAGACTCTGTCGCCCCAGGTACCTGCGTATCCAATAAACCTCTTGCAGTTTGCATCCGGCTGCGTGTTTTCGACTGATCTTTGGGCATGGGGTCTCTCCCGAGGGAAGATGCCCACGGGAGTCTTTCATTTCTTTCTTTCTTCCTTTCCTCTTTCCTTCTTTCTCTCTCTCTCTCTCTCTCTCTCTCTCTCTCTCTCTCTTTCTTTCTTTCTTCCTCTCTCTCTTTTCTTTTTTTTCCTGTTTTTTGAGACAAGATTTCTCTGTCTAGCCCTAACTATCCTGGAACTTGCTCTGTAGACCAAGCTGGCCTCGAACTCACAGAGATCCACCTGCCTCTGCCTCCCACTTGCTGGGAATAAAGGCATGCACCACCACTGCTTGGCTTCCATTTCCCCTTTTTTGCTTGCTTTCTCTTTTTAACTTCTATCTCCTTCCTTCCCAGCTCCCCATCCACCCTCTCTGCTCATGAAATTCCCATTGATTCAGCTCTTCCACTCCCCTTCCCAGGAACCTTAACTCCTGGGCTCTGCATCACCTCTGATATTACTAAGGGCCTTTGCTCTTGAGTCTTAGTCTTCCTTTGGTCTCCAAGCTTCCAGTCCAGGTCACTCACTTTGGATTCAGCTCCGCTGTCTCACTCCTATCAAAGGACCTGTGCCCAGCCCAATTCCTGCGCCCTGTGATACTATATTGGGATAAGGCCTCCTGAGCCATTTCCTTGCTTATTCAAATGTTTCGTCATTTAGGAGACTATGCCTTGCTCTCAGCCATAAATAAGCAAGCCCAGGATCTTGTGAACTCTAAGTGTATCCATCTGCATCTTTAGTCACATTCTTCATGGTAGACTATAGAACCAGCCATCTCCTTCTTATGACTTCTGGAATCATTCTTCCCTTTCATTTCAACTCCTAGACACAAAACCAGCTTGGGTGAAGTCCTCTTGGACTCAGTCTACTCAAATGGGGGGTTTTGTTTTTAAGATGGCTCTGATGCCACTTCCTGCAGGGAGTCATCCGTGACTTCTCCAGGTGGAGATTGGTGCTTTAACTTGAGAGAACGTTATGTTCTCATGAACTCCTTCAGCCAATTGCCTTTAAGATAGCAGCCCACTTTGGGTGTGGTCTCATGTGCTATAAGTGCAGACAAAAAGCATACACAGCTCTTTTTTCTGCTGGATTTGGTTCCAGTTCCCAGCGCATGCAGAGGACTGTGGATCGCTACCCTTACTGCAAGTTTATCCTCAAATAAATAAACCTTTGTTATATGCCATTCTGGACTATTGTGGAACTCTTTGATATTATGAAAATTTGGCACCCAACATGGGGCACAAACTTACCACCCTGAGATTAAGAGTCTCAAGTTCTACTGTCCCACATCTACTTTATGCTGAATAAATTTAGTATGTCACTCTTAGAGAACTCAACACATGACCACAAGGATCTAGTAATGTACCTCTCTGTCCTCCAAAGGACTCTGGAGAGGAAGGGGTGAGACTAACACCTTTGTACACCCTTTCCCTGGTGTGCTAAGCCCTACAGTAGAAAACGCTTGGCAATCTTTAGTGTTTGAATGACTAAATGCAAAAAAAAAAAATAAACCAAATGTTGTCCTAGGCACCTGCATTACCTGCTCTCTGAGAATAGCAACCATGTTCATCTTTTTTGTTTGTTTTTGGAGACAGGGTTTCTTTATGTAGTCCTGACTGTTCTGAAACTAGCTCTGTAGACCAGGCTGGTCTAGAACTCACAGAGCTCTGCCTGCTTCTGCCTCCCAAGTGCTAAGATTAAAGGTGTACTACCACCACCAGGCCAACCATGTTCATCTTATTAACCCAGTAATTTTTGCAGCACCTGGAACTCCATGCACCAGTGTGCATGACTTTCCTGGGGAGTGGAGATACTCGGGTATTCAGCATCCCCAAAACATCCCTTAGTTCTCCACACTGTTCCTCAGGTACCAACAGCTTCCCTTGGCTATGGCCTTTCCCAGCCTCACTTCATGGCACTTCTCCATTAGTCTCCAGGTCACTGCACTGTGACTCTCCTTCACAGGGCAGGATTTTGCACAACGGTGCATCCCCAGCATTCAGTATCGCTAGGCAATAATCTGACTTCTGCAGCTGACCATGGGCTTATCTATTTGATGAACAGGATGCTTTACTCCTCCAGAACACAGTCAGTCTTATGTTCTGAGATGCCTGGCAGCGGTCACTCAGTACACCCAGCAAACTCTAACTCCCTGAGTTGTTGAGTATCCCTGCTGTGGCTATGAGAAGGAAATGGGAGGGGGTAAATGGAGAGAGGTGCTGGGGGAGGGGCAAAGCCCTCATTATTCGTGGCAGCGTTTCCTAGGCTCATTAATTCTAACGGGATGAGCTAGGTTTGATTAATCGGGTTGTTAAGCAGCCATGTCAAGCCGCCGATCAGGTAAAAGACATTACTTCCGGTCGCTGGCAGCGAAACTAAGTGACAGCAGACTGCACCCCTTGTTTCCCAGGCTGCAGCAAGGAGAAAAGGCACAAAAAGCTACTGGCTGGAAACAGCTGATAATGCGATCTGGGCTCCCACCATGGCTCTGGATGGGAACAGTTAGATCTCCCTAGACCCTTTGAACAGTCACATACCTAGCTACAGAGCGAAGGTGTTTGACCCATTCTAGTCCCAGTGCCTGGCTTAGGGGCCAAGAGGCCGGAGCTGAGGTGCTTCCCCAGAAACAGCTTGTTAATCTCCCATATGCACCCCAGGACAACCCAAAAGGCAGACAGGCCCCGCTTCTAGCACTACAAATATTAGTAAACGGGATACCAAAGCTCATTTAGAAATATGTATATGATGAATAAAGCAATGATAGATCTTAAAGAAAAAAAATCCACAAAGAAGCTTTTAAATTTAGCGTTTGTGCAAGTGCTATGCTGATGTATATATGTATGTATTGATATATATACATATCAATATATCATATATATCATATCTATCTATCTATCTATCTATCTATGCTGGTACATATATATACATACACCTAAGGACAAGGACCACAGTCCTACTGGTTAGAGTAAAATGCCAGCTTACCT